AAGGATAAAACTCACATGATCATCTCAATAGATGCAGAAAAAGCATTTGACAAAGTCCAGCACCCATTCATGATAAAAACCCTACAGAAAATTGGAATAGAAGGTCTTTATATCAATCTAATAAAAGCCATCTATGACAAACAACCCAAATCATACTAAATGGGCAAAAACTGAAAGCTTTCACTCTAAAATCATGAACAAGGCAAGGATGTCCACTATCACAATTCTTTTTCAACATAGTTCTAGAAACATTAGCCAGAACAATTAGACAAGAGAAAGAAATAAAAGGGTTACGGATAGAAAAACAAGATGGTAAATTAACATTATTTATGGATGACATGATACTCTACATAGAAGACCCCAAAAACTCCACCAGAAGACTTCTAGATTTAATAACCAAATTCAGTAGTGTAGCTGGATACAAAGTCAACACTCAAAAGTCAATAGTATACAAATAATAAACTCACTGAGAAAGAAATTACAAAAACATATTTCACAATAACATCCAAGAATATGAAATACCTAGGAATCAAATACCTAGGAATCAATCTAATAAAGGAAGGAAAACACCTTTACATTGAAAACTACAGTGCTCTGAAAAAGGAGATCAAAGAGGATACCAGAAAACACAAAGATAACCCTTTTTCTTGGGTAGGAAGACCCAATGTAGTGAAAATGACTGTATTTCCAAAATCATTACAGTGATTTAATGTAATCTCAATCAAAATACCAATACCATACCTCACAGAATTAGAGAAAACAATCCTAAAATTTATTTGGAACCAGAAGAGACCTAGAATAGCAAAAGCAATTCTGGGCAACAAAGGCAAGGAAGGGGCAATGACAATTCCTGACTTGAAATTATAGTAAAAAGCTACTGTGACAAAAACAGCTAGTACTGGCAAAAAAACAGACCTAAGGATCAATGGAATAGATAAGAAGATGCAGAAACAACTCCAAACATACTCAGCTCTCTTATCTTTGACCAAGGAGTCAAATACCTTCACTGGAGAAAAGAGAGGCTCTTTAATAAGTGGTGTTAGGAAAACTGGCTTTCCACATACAAAAGATTAAAACTATACCTACATCTTTCACCATGCACTAAGCTAGATCAAAATGGAAAAAAATCTACATATTCAGACAAATACTAAATCTGCTAGAAGACAGAACAGGCAGAACTCTTGATGACACTGGTGTAGGCAAAGACTTTACGAATAAAACCCAGATATAGATACACTTTTTTTTTTGGTACTGGGAATTCAACTCACAACCTCATACTTGCCAGGCAGGTGCTATGCCTTGAATAGGTAATATTACAAGGAATCAACAACTGGGATCTCATTTTTTTAAAAGGCTTTTACACAGCAAAAGAAACCACCAACAGAGTGAAGAGATAATTTGCAAAATGGGAAAAAAAAAATTGTCAGGTATTCCTCAAAAGATAAATATAAAGAACTCATATAAATCACCCCAATTTAAAGACCTAATCCAAAAATGAGCATCTGAAATGAATGACACTTTTCAGATAAAGAAGTAGAAATAGCCAACATACAAAAAAAAATGTTCAACATCACTGTTCATTCAATAAATGCAAATAAAACATTGAGATTCCATTTTACTCCAGAAAAAAATGGCTATCATCAACAAATCAAATAATAACAAGGCATAGCACGCTTCCAGCAACCAACAGCTCTGCTCCGTGCCTGCACCCGCACCCGCACCCACCCCGCACCTGCACACGCCCCGCACCCGCTATGGCCTCCATTCAGCAGCTGGTAGGAAGATGGCGTCTGCTGGACAGAAGTTTAAAGAGACTACAGCGCATGGCCAAAAAATTGAGACAGTCTGCACCTTTACAGATGGTGTGTTGGTTCGGCGCAAGAAGTGGGATGGAAAGAAAAGCACAATAACCAGAAAAATGCAAGATCAGAAGTTAATTGTGGATTGTGTCATGAACAATGTCATCTGTACTCGGGTCTATGAAAAACTAGAATAAATATTCCATCATTACTTGGATAGGAATTAGCTTTGAGAATGAATAAGCTCAGTTCAACGAGCAAATCTCCATACTTCTGGTTTTTTTGTCATTACTCTGGTCAATTACCTTTATCACAAACATTTTACATGCAACTGTTTCAAAGGGTGGATTTCACTAGGATCACCTCTTTGGTTAGTAAATAAATAAATGTGTTTATGCTAATAAAAAAACAACAAAATATAAATAATAACAAATGCTGGCGAGGATTCAGAAAAAAAAAAGAACCCTTTTACATGGTTGACGGGAAAGTGAACTAGTACAATCACTATGGAAATCTGTATGGTGATTCCTCAAAAGATTACAAATAAAAATTTCATTTGACTAGCCATTCCCCTTTTATCTTCCAAAACAGTGAAAGACATCATATTCCAGGGATACGCACATACCTCTGCGGAGGCAGTGGATGTAGCAATGAGGGCAAGGCCAGACAGGTGGATAGAAGAGTTAAGAAACAAAAGACAGTTGATTAAGATAAGATTCTCAAAAACCAGGTGTTCACTTAACTGTGAAAAAGATCTTTGTTGATGCCATTAAAGGAGGCACTAAAGAACCTATGAGAACAGCATGGGAAAATTGAAGTGATTGAAATTATGACAGAGGCAGTGGAAAGAAGAGCCATGTTTTTGCAAAATTTTAGGATTATATGGACAAAAATATCATTGAGAAATACCATACTGTGAATGGCTGCAACAGTAAAGCAAGGAAAGTTCATTCTGTTGAAGCAAGAGACGGCTAGTACGTCACTTAACAAAGAGGTTCTACAAACTTTATTGGTAGTTGGTTTTGGTGGTCAAGATAATTTTGGTCATGGAGAAAACTTCAGTGGTCAAAGTGGCTTTTCTGGAAGCTGTGGTGGGGGTGGTGGATATGGCGGCACGGGAGATAGCTACAATGGATTTGGTACTTGAAGCAATTCTGGAGGTGGCAGAAGCTAAACATGATTTTGGCAATTACAATACTCTTCAAATTCTGGATTCATAAAGGAATGAAACTTTGAAGGCAGCAGCTCTGGTTCCTATGGTGGTGGAGGCTATTACTTTACCAAACCACAGAATCAAGGTGGCTATGGCAATTCTAGTGGCAGCAGTAGCTACAGCAGTGGAAGGTTTTAATTACTGCCAGAACACAAGGCTTAGTAGGAGAGCAGAGCCAGAAAAATACCAACCAGTCTTAAAGGAACCAGTATTCTTCTTACTATAAGTATGTGGATATGAAGAATACAATGACCAGCAGGAGTCTGATGTAGTTTTGCTTTGTGCTAAGGTCTAGCGCAGTTTTAACCACCACTGTTTCTGAACATCAGTGCAATATTAACACAGTGGAATAGGCAGGTACCATCTCAGTATCACTATGGAAACAGATCTGAGCTGATGGATCCCTTGCCTAAGTACATTGAGGCTCATTGCACTATTCTGACAGAAACAATCCTTAGCCTTTTCTATCGTTATTACAATCCACTGACTCATTCAACTAGTAATTATTGAGGACTTAAGTGTCAGCTACACACCATTAAAAATCTGAGTGTGCTAGTGTCTTCCATTTGGCACTCACACAAGCTCCTAGAAAGAACAGTGTTCAATGGCATACAGCAGAGCCCCCATATTTGCTAACTTAAGTAACAGACAGCTGTAATTCACTTTAACATCAGTTTCAGTGTCTACTGGAATGCACTTCTCTCACACTCACAAATCAAGCACCTAAATAGTGCAGTATTTTCTCATTTTCCAACACTAACAGGAAAGGCACATTAGACAATATAGAACCACTACACTTAGTGTGCCTAAAGCAGTTTTATCTTCATACCATCTAAACTAAAATTGTATACAGATGCAGCCCTTGCTCCTCACACACCATGGTAAATGAAATTCATACATAGTCAAGTGCTCAATCTGAAAGGCTCCATGGAAACTGTAATCTAAAGTAACATAGGACTATGCAAAGCAGATTAATGCACATGTATGGGGAAATAAGTTCCAATGACCCACAGTCTCAATGACAGTAAAGCTAGAAGGAAAGGCAATAGAAAAAATGGATGAGAAAACTTTAAGCTGTAGCTTTGAATGAGTACATATACAGGAAAGCAATCAGATACAGAAATGACTTTTTCAAACTCTGCATGCCTCCCTCCCACTGCTCATTACCATTTGAGAATCACTGTGACTGATCAACTATGGGAAGTTTTCTAATGCTTCACTGGTGTTTGGGAAAGCCATGGGCATAGGGAGAGATGAGCATGGTGGAGCAGAACCAAGGTGGATGGAGAAAAGAAGACCCAGCACATTCTTATATATTGACTCAAAATTATTTCACATTATATTTAGCCTGGAATTAAAATTATAAAAAAAAATACTTCTCAAGACAAAGATACATCACATCTTTGGACTTCCCTCCAAACTTTTTCTTCAATCAATATAGCCTTAGCATTTCTCAATAGTATGTTTCCCTTTCTGCTCCCATGCTCACATCTATAACCAGGAATTATGAATTTTTTTAATTCACATAAATTTTCAAAACAATTATCAGCTGGTTGTGGTGCTGCACATCTGTAATCCCAGCACTCACAAGGTTGAGGCAGGAGGATCACCGTGAGTTCAAGGCCAGCCTTGGCTACAAAGTAAGTTCAGGGCCTGACTGAACTACACGGCAAGATCCTGCCTCAAAAAACAAACAAATATCAATGTTCAATATAGTATATTCAGCTCTAAAAATAAAAACCCTAAGCCTTAATGTATCTGAAGTGGTTTTATCTTCACACCATCCAAACTAAAATCAAAGTTTAAATGGTTCAGCCAAAAGTTAGGAAGAAATCGAAAAATATTTTAGAGTTAAACACTAATGAAAGCTTAGCAACTAAGTGAGTGTCATGGGAATGGCAATAAATAATACCACTTTAAAAAAAAAAAAAACTTACTCTATTATGTATCACATGTAGGATAAACAGAAAGTGGTATTTAAACTATACCTTAAAATGTACTATGATGTTCCACGGAAGAGCTGAACTTGCTGCAAGAAGATCAAATAGCAAACCAATTGGATAATGCCTAAAAATAAAAGAGTATTTATTTTAAGTGAGAAAAAAAACATATGAAGTAGTAACTACAACTCCAAAACAAATTCCAAGCATCAAACATCAAATGTCATGGGTTTTAATGGCAATTAAATACTTTATATAATTCGACTACTGGAGTAATACAATATACTTTCTAGGCATCAGATGGTTTTCTTCTAACCAATAATTTCCCACAGAAACCTCAATATATACAATGGGATTACAAGCAGGCATTTTCATGAACTGTTATAATACTGTAGTATCAAATCATCATCCTAGTGCTCAGAGTGGGCAACTGTTTTCAGTTATTTAAACATATATATTTTTTATTTTTAAAACAACTTAAAATTTTAGAAACTTCTAAAAACTAGTTAAGTAACTGAAAGCATACAAGGTGCTTGCCTAGCATATATGAGACCATGGATTTAATCCCAATACTAGAGGGGAAAAAAGAAAGCATGCAAATCACGTATTCTTTGGTTATTCCTATTAACATTATAGCATATTAGTTTCCTGTCCTTTACCTATGCATACCTATCTAAATATAGGTTTGAAATACGCCTTACAACTTGTCCTATAACCTGCTTTTCTAGCAGAACAATAAATGCCAACATTTCCCCAAACACTGAACGTTCTTCTGCAACATAATTAATTTAAAAAAAAAAGGCACGGCGGCGTGTGTGCAATTCCCAGACTCGGGAAGGCTGCAGCAGGAGGGGCATCACAATTTCAAGCCCAACTGGGCAACTCAGCAACACACTGCCTTAAAATAAAAAAGGGCTGAGGAGATGGTGTGAAGGCTTCAGGTTCAATCCCCAGTGCCACAGAATAAATAAGTAAATTTTAAAAATTTAAGAATAGTTTTGGACTTATTAAATAAGAGAATGTGCCAGGCATGGTGGTGCACACCTGTAATTCCAGCACTGGAAAGGCTGAGGCAGGAGGATCGCTGTGAGTTCAAGGCCAGCTAGGGTTACGAAGTTAGTTCAAGGCCAGCCTGAATTGCATAGCGAGACCCTGTCCCAAGAAAGAAAATAAATAAATAAATAAATGTTTCATAATATAACTACTGTTCACAGTGAACCACATCACTTACCTATAAACAAATGTGAAAAACACAAACCTTACAGATTTCAATGGACAAATAATTTTTAAACTTATCTTCTTAAAGAATCTAAAGTGAGCTAGCTTAGTGTATAGGAATTAAATAATAATCCCAACAAAGGAAGAGGTCTATATATACACTCCTGTTTCCTCTGTATAATGTATTGGTTGCTTCTGGATTAAAAAGCTATCAAATCTGAAAATACGTAATTTCCCTCAAAATAAGTAACACTAACCAAGATTCAAGTATTAGCTAGGGGGACTAACAAACAGTATAACTCAGTAGTAGAAATATCACCTAGCATGTATGAGACCCTAGATTTGATCCCTAGGATGGATGGACAGATGTACAGAAGGAAGGAGGGAAGGAAGAAGGGAAGGAGGGAGGGGAGAAAGGAAGGGGAAAGGAGGGAAAGAAAAAAAGGGAGCAAGGGTCAAGGTAATATGTATTAGCTTACATCAACTAAAGATCATGTATTTTACTTCAAATAAATATAAGATAAATGCACTGTTGGTAAAATTAAAAATCAGGTAGTTTTTAGTCTCATATGTTCAATTTCTTTTTTTTTTTTTTTTTGCTGCTGTTGTTTTTTCCCCTGGTACCAGGAATCGAACTCAAGACCTTGCACTTGCCATGCAGGTGCTATGCTGCTGAGCTAAATCCCCAGCCCCCATATGTTCAATTTCTGTTTGTAGCTTCATCTCACTTAGTAACAACCTTAAACTACTCTATTAAAAGTCAGCATCTAACATTAACCCTTCATAACTGAAATACTAGAAAAAATTTAAAACTAGGAAAAATTCTGACTCCAGTCAAAAACTACAATACCAAAAATACTGTTCGCTAGTTAAGTTATAAATTGTATCCAATCACTATTAAGACTGTACAAAGACTAGGGACGTAGGGCAGTGGTAGAGCTCTTGCCTAGCATGCATGTGGCTGTGTTCAATCTCCAGAACTGCAAATAAAACACAGACAAAAAAACTTCACTGTAATTCTACAAAACAAATCCTTTTTACATCTTCAATCTACTTTTTAGAATGTCTCTCAGGTATCAGCAACCAGCTAAGAATGAAAGTCTAATTAAAATTAGACTTGGCAATCATAATAAAGACTTAGAACTTTCAAAAATAACACAGTACATGGCTTTCCAAGTTCTCAATAACACTTTAAGAACAACTTTTAGCAAATTACTATATATGTGATCTATTAGATAAGACCTGAAATAACATTTAAATGAATGGAAATCCAGAGTTTCATGCATTCCCTGTCATTCACAAATGAAATTCTAAAATTAAATAGAGAGAGTGGAACACCTAGGGGATATATCTTAGTGGTAGAGGGCTTGCCTAATATATGCAGGTCCTAGGTGCAATTCCCAGAACTGTAATACTAAATAAATACATAAAAGTTTAAAACTTGTTAAATGAAATCAAACATATCTTTTAAACATTCAGTATCAGAAAAAAATAAATTTTTGGATCAGAATGTAAGTTCAACATAAAACTCATTTATATATACATGTACCAACTACAATTAATGCAACCATCATGTACTGCAAACATGTAACGATAAAAATTTTAAATTTTAAACTTTTAAAAGACTGAATTATTTTTATTCTATGTATTAAAAAAAAGTAACAATGTATTAGAAAAAAAGTAACAATGCAAGTGCACAGAACATTGAACAAAGTAGCTGTTAGATGTATAAATCCATAAATATCTACAGAATACTAATCCACTGTACATAAAAAGCTCCAGTGGGCCAAAGTTTAAGTTCTGAGAGGTTTTTTTTAGTAGTTCTAAAAAGTTTAAGGATCAATGTATCTTAACTTTTACTCCTTCCTACTGGTCTTCCAAAGATCACAGAAAACTAACTCCAGAAAATAAATCTTACTGTTTAGTAACTGCCATCTGTATCTACTAGGGCGAACATTTTAGACCTTTCAAGATACAAACAGCTCACAGCAGCACAAGTGCCATATGTTCACCACCACTACACTAGGCTCCTCCCTTCCTTTCTTCCAAGACAGGGTTTCGCTTTGTAGTTTGAGCTGGCCTTGGACTCACTATGTAGCTCACGCTGGCCCCTAACTCATGGCAATCCACCTGCCTCAGGAGTCCTGGGACTACAGGCATGCACCACCACACCCAGCTTGTAGGCCTTTTTATAAATCTAGGATTTATTATAGGGTCTTAGTGATCTCTTGAAACATTTTACTCTTTCGTCATTCCGGGAATATTACCACTACTCAGTGGTTATTCTTCATTATAGTTAAAAAACACTAAAATAATAACAATTTGAAAGAATGGGATGCCTGAAAGAGATACAATAATGCGTCCTTCTTCTATTTTCTTACTGTGTTGCCTTAAGTATTACATCATTTTTTAAGAAAGTATAAAGTAAGAATGTAGACACTATCTTTGGAACCTGATCTTATATACCATTAATACAGACGAAAAATTTTTAATTTCTCATCTTCTCCCTATAGAAGAGAAGAAAATTGGCAAAGGAAGACATTTCACAACTAGACAAATCAGGAAACACATATAAAGAGAGATAGCAGTGCTCTGAACTTTAATGACAATGGTGAAATTGATGGTTTAAGTGAAATCTCAGACTATGAGTCTTTACATATTCTACGTAAGTTCTGTACGACAAGAACTAATAGATGAACAACACATTTCTTAGGACAAAACAAACATACAGTATTATCCATTCAGTCATTCAACAGAATAAGCTTCATTACATAATATTTTAAGACAAGAATATGGACCATTCCACTTTAAGGATTTATGGCAATATTCACCTTTTATATTATTTGTGCTCTTTAATTACCTGATAAGAGATAAATGCTTATACTAGATTTGTATGCAAAGATAACTGGAAGGAATTTCACGTATACAAGTGGAAAAAAAGTACTGAACAGATTGTTTTAATTGGTATTAACTAATACAAAAAAAATTTATAACAAAATTATGTGCTGGTAAAATTTTTTTTAAATTCTTGGGATGGGACAAGAACTCAATAGTAGGATACTAGTCTAGCATGTGCAAGACCCTGGGTTTGATCCCTAGCACTACCAAAAAAAGTTTTCTCTTGCCTTTTTATCTTGCTGTTAGGTACAAGAAGAGAAGTCATGACAACTAATGAATAGTCAATTGTATTCAGAAATTACTGCTCATTTCTGGTTCCTTGAAAATCAGGAAAATAAAAAAAATTTTGAATTTGCTTCATTTAAATGCAAATTAAAGTTTCTAATAAAATTGGTATATAACTGGTAAAACTGGCATATTCTACCTTCTCTAAATTATTTACAAAATAACGTGTGTGTGTATTCACTGGTCTCTGAAAATACTTTTTATTTTTTACCTAGTACACAAAGAATTGATAGAAAGTTAAATATGGTTCCTAAAACTTTATTTACACGTGACTAAATACAGATGTTTATGTTTGAATGATTATCATACAAGGATATTAACTTCAAACAAAGATACCTTCTGAGGATGCAGTTGAGTGGTATAGTGCTTGCCTAGCACACGCAAGGGTTTGAATCCTAATACCATGGGGAAAAAAAAGTGTTATATTCAAAGACATTATATGAATTAGTAGTTCCTTGACTATTTCTAACAGATTAAGATTCATGAAAATCTAGAAAAGAAAATACGAAAGTCAAAGATAATGAATTTCTCAAATACTATAGTCTGATTTACATCAAAGATTTCAAAAATACTAATTTGTACAACTCCTTAAAAATAATTTTGTCAGAAGGCTCCTAACCCACAATACAAAAACCACATAAGCCATAACTGTAAATAAACCATAACATAGCCATTTAGCTGTTATGTTGCTACTTCTAACATCTAAACTAAGTTAAATAGGAAAGG